AGGATTTTTGTTTCACTGGACTTTTGTTATGACTGTTATGTAATATTTATATGACTTATGTTGTTGGATTTTATATATTATGTTGCTACTGCTTAGGACTTTTGTTTCACTGGACTTTTGTTATGGATTTCTGCTAATATTTTATATGACTGTTATGTAATATTTTATATGACTTATGTTGTTGGATTTTATATATTATGTTGCTACTGCCTACTGGACTTATGGGGTGAGTGGTGTTTTGTTTTGAAATGGATTATGGACTTATAGGCTTGGGCTGTATATGGACTTATGTTGTTGGATTCAATACATTTTGTTTAATTTTTTTTTCGGTTATAACCGAACTCCGCACCGAACCGAATTTTTCGGTGCGGTTTTGGTGCGGTTTTTTTTCAAACTCGGTGCGGTTCGGTTTGGATAATTTAAAATTTTCGATTTTCGGTTTTTGCGGTTCGGTGCGGTTTTTCACCGAACCGCACCGATGCTCACCCCTAGGTTTGGACATTCCATAAATATTATTTAGCTACTTAGGTAATTTAATATGTACTAATATAACCTTTTATTTCTTTGTAATTTTACATACTGAGGCACTAAGTGACTAATATATCCCTAACTTTTGATTTGTTTCCTTCAATTAGCTATTGAATTATAAATATATTTTAAAAGTTGATAACTTTTATATTTCTTATCGGTTTTACATATATAATATATCAAATAAATCATCTTTTCATTATCTTTGATTTGACATCCGTTATTGTATATATGAAATAAATAAATTATATTTATATTTAAAATAATAAAAAATAATAATATTTATTAAAATTAGCAAACACCCATATAATATACGGGCGTTGTACTAGTGTAATATAATAAGGGGAAGATGTTATGGATACAAACCTGACAGAATGGTACCGTAGTAGGTAATTAGTAAAAGGGATAGGTTTTGTTCTCACTCCCAAGTCCCAATTCCAAACTGCCGTATCTATTTTCTATTCACGCCGCCGGCCGCCCTTCCCCTTCATCCGCCTCTTCTAGTCTTCGTTCAGCTCACGCCGCCCCGCCTAAGCCCCAGCACCTCCACTTCTTCAGCCTCGGCCGCGCCTACTCTCGTATGCATTGAAGGTACGAAAGCCAATTACGCTGTCAACCTTAGTGGACTTGATAATTGCGCGATCAGTCGAGAAAGAAAATTAATCGTACGTGAAACACCAATGTGAAATTTGAGGTCTTTTTAATTGTTTTTCTTTAATTCTCTTTGAGTTTATGTGGGTTACTGTTTTTCTTCCGAACAGAGTTTGGGGAATTTTAGTATTATAATCTTCATTTTTTTAGGATCTTGGGGTTTGATCTGAAGAGAAACATATTGATCTTGTGGAAGCCCCTTCCATTAGGTGCTTTCACGCATTGTTTTTTTAATAGCCGAACCATATTAATTTGGATGCGATGACCGGAATTCTGAATAGGTTCTTTTTGTTCGTTCACCATTGTTGTAGTTATGGATTGTATGGTAAATAGTTATGAGCTCCACCTTTTGAGGTGACACAAGTTGTTTCATAAGTAAGTGTTGAGTGTTTAATTCTGCTATTTAATCGATCTAATTAATTAATTTGCTTTTCCGGCGGTTAATGAAACTCTATTGCCTCCCCCTCAGCCCCCGCGCCAGATACAAACACCTCACAACTCGGGACGCAACACACAACCTGCTCCTCGACTCTCGACTCAAGAGGTAACATTTGGCGCTTCTATTGTTTCTTCATTTTGGTATTTCTTCTTTAGTAGTTTGGCACAAAGGTGATTGGTGAGTTGTTTGTATAATTAGCATAAACTTTTGTGGAAAGGGTTTGAGGTGCTTTTCTGGTTCAAAATTTAGTGAGGTGTTTGTAAAATTAGACAAAGGTACATTTGTATAATTAGCGGAGATTTCAGTGGTTTTGGCACTCGGGGGGTTTTTGGTTCAAACTAACAATCACTGTTCTGTAAGTTTGTTGTTTTTTGTCTTGTGCCTTTTGGTTTCTTCATGCCTGCACTCATTTTGCGAGTTATGCAATTCCATGACTGTAATATATATATATGGCATGCCATGATGTGCCCAACACTTGTGCTGATCATTCTTGGATGTTATCTGTATAAAAAATATGTTAATTGTTTAAAAACTCAAACTTGATTAGTGTGAGATTTATCATTTTTGTAGTTTGTTAATTGTAGAATAACTGGCGCTCATTCTGCAGCCAAACAGACATGCCAATCACTTCCATCAGATCATTGAGAAACCCCACCCCACTTAAGGAGGTACTTCGAATGGTGGGCCACAGGACATATGCTGCAGGTGCTGCTAAAAAGAAAGGCTCCAAAGGCGGTGCAGCTGCAGCTGCACCAAAAGCATCACTGTTGACCAAAGAAGTAAAATCGACTACTGTTTTTGGTGCTAACACCCTAAAAGACGGACAAGACCCAAAAATCCTACCTGATTCCGAGTACCCAGATTGGCTGTGGCTCTTGCTCAACAAAAAGCCGGCCCTGAGCGAGCTTAGGAGGAAGGACGTGGAAAACCTTCCATTTGAGGATTTGAAGAGGTTTGTCAAGCTGGATAATCGGGCCAGGATCAAGGAGAATAATTCTCTCAAGGCCAAGAATTAGAAGGGACTTGTGAGGGGGTACCGTTTCTTGTTTTCTCGGATGTGCTTTCTTCTTTTACCTAGTGCATCAGGTTATTGACTTGTTTTTGTTCAAGTTGATTGCGTGTCTGACCGTGAAATCTACTTGCATGCATGTATGGAAAATATATTCTTTAGAGTCATGTCTACACATTTTCACCTTTTGTCCTTAATTTTGGGGAATTAAGGCGAATCCCCAACCTATATATATTCATGACCGTAAATCGGTCAAAAAAAAAAAAAAAAACACAGTTCTGTAGTTCTCTCAACTTCTATACAATGTAGAATTGAAGGCTGCTATCATCATCTATACTCATAATCATAAGTGGATAACTTTCTTGACTTGATACCTCATCTCCAAATAATTTGATCACTGAGTTTACTTTGAGTTTACCAAAAAACTATAAAGCGAAGCTGATCATAACAGCAAACTTTACTAATTAAAACATCTCCAACTTCATAATCTATGTAGCATTGTTGATTCAGACTCCATTATAATGGATAAACACCATTAATTCAAACATTTTTCTATGTGTAAAGACATCCAAAACAGTCAGGCCACATCAGAGAAAAAAAATTTAAACAAAGTGGGCATTTGAAAATACCTTATGATATGGGATATCATACCAAGGCGAGTATGACCTATGGAATGGTTCAGCTGGACCGGCAGGCCGATCAAACAACAAGGACACAGAAGGTCGAAGATGACCTCACATACAAGGAAGCTCGCTATCAGGCTGAGATAGGGTTTGCGATCAACCTGGTAGAAACTCGACCTGAAGACAGGCAGGTTGAGGTTGCGACTTAAGGAACAAAGTCCACACGTGGGAGATTAGAGCAAACCAAGCTGGTCGCACAATTAGACCGTGTAACAAGGCAGACTCATGTGAACACACTACTTAGTAGAAAATTAGAACCACAAATAAATAGGACCAAGTGACCTAACAGAATCCGGCAGTTTGGGCACTAGGGCAGCACAATCGGCCAGTCTTGGGCAATAAGGCAACACTCCTACATAAAGGAGTGAGGTATGATCATCAAAACACTACACACTCTTATATACTTACAAACTATACAAATAACGGTCATCGTCTTCTTCATACACATTCTGGCTTGATTGTTGGAATCACTACACCGGGACCACTTCTGACACTATTTTGTAGGTCTATCGAACCAGTGGAGAGAAGATCAAGCAACCGTCGTTCGAACACCACCTTCAGTTTCTTTTTATGTGCCCATCCACGGATTTGTTGGCTTTGCTCATTTTTTTTTTTTTTCAATTTACAATCCGAGTTCATGCTATTTTTGTTTTTCTTTTTAAAAAGAAGAACGAGAGATATCGCCTAAATTTCGTTTGTAAATCAATATGCAGAAACTTTGAGTTTGTCTCATAACTCTGGAATGATTGTTTAAAATTTGAGTTAATTACAACTGTTACGTAGGAGGAATTGATAATGGAGCGATACTTGGAATGAAACTGAGAAACCACAATCTTGAAATTAATAGTTTCTATAAACCCTGACATGATGAAACTTTTTTCAATCGTAGGGATGAAATCAAGTTTAATAGTAGTATGTATGTAAATCAACCTTTATGAAAGAGTAAAACACTTGGTGTACCACACAATATCATTTTTCTTACATTTATACTACATATATATAGTACAACACCCGTGTATTACACGAGTGCTTGTTAAAAAATTATTCTTAAATTTTAAAATTAATGAGAAAACTATATTAAATTTAGTTTACTTTTTTACAAAAAAAATATATTACTATATATTTTAGAATGATATGTGTTACTTATGACTTACATGTGTTATATTATATTAGTTTTTATAACTTATATCATATAACTACTTGAAATATAAGTATATTAGTTGATAAATAATTTTAATCTTCTAATTAATATTAAAAATAATTTTATTATTATTATAAAGATAAATATAAATTATTTTTTAATAATGTTAAATCGAAGCTCATCAAAAGAAGATTAATTTGATATATTACATATGTAAAACTGATAAAAAATACAAAAGTTATTAACTTTTAAAATATATATACAATTCAATAAATATAATAAGGAATGATATTAAAATGCAATTAATACATGTAACATGACTATAAATAATCAACATATTTATGGTAATCCGAACCTAATTATTTTTGGTTTGGAATTATATTAAAATTTACCTAAGCCTAATAGCGAAGCATGTAATTTTGCCACATAGGATTCTGAAGCACCAGAAACAGCCACGTAGGCATGTAATTAAATTAAATTAAAATTTACCCAAGCCTAATAACGAAGCATGTAATTTTGCCACATATGATTCTGAAGCACCAGAAACAGCCACGTAGGCATGTAATAATTAAATTAAATTAAAATTTACCCAAGCCTAATAACGAAGCATGTAATTTTGCCACATAGGATTCTGAAGCACCAGAAACAACCACGTAGGCTCAGCGCGTTCTGAATTAATATAGCGGAGATAGGGAGATAATTTAGCAAAATAACTAAACCAAACATTTTTATTTGCATAAATACTAAGATGTTGGTTTAAATAGTATATTTATGGAATTATCGAATTAAAACTCCCCATCTCCTCCACTCTCTCTGCATATCTTCTTCTTCCTTCTCCATTTTTCTTCTCCAAATTTCATCCTATTTTCTCTGATTTATTCCTTTTTTTTTTCCTCTCTCGAAAATCTTCCCCTTTCTTCCAATTTCTTCTACCTTGTCCTATATTCCTTTATACAAAACAATCGTCTGAAAGAGTGATAGTCGAGAGCCATCAAGTATGTATGTACAACAATCCATCAATTGCAAGTGGCAATGACTCCGTGATTAACAACGACGACTCATGAAGAATGCTATGTGTTTGTTGTTAGAATATTTGAGTGTATTATAAATATTTGTCCAATTTGATATTGATTTCTTAAACTTTTCCACATGTATTCTCACCTTTCCCACCTGCCAATTGATCTGATACGATATGAATAAGTGTAGAGAATAATTGGTGTGCATCCAACATAAGTTGACCTTTATTGTTATAATAATAATTATAATAATAGAGAAGGTAACTTAATATTCTTTTTATTACTATTTTTTTTTTCAAACGATAGGCAACTCAATAGATAACAAAGATTACAATATCCAAATACAATACTGGAAATACAATACTCCGCATGAAATGGGAGACCTAACAACCGAGGTCTAAAAAAATACAGCAAACACCTAGGCAGCCACACGCTGAAGACCTAAGCATCTAATGCAAAGAAGCAGATCAAGAGATAAAAGAGAAATGGAACTGTCCAAGGACCTAGCATAACTCTTAACACCTCCAGGCAGATTAAGAAGCTTGAAACTCAGACCACTCCCTGACAGCTTGCTGAATAATGCAATGCTCAGGGATGTTTTGCTTTTGAAAAATTCATAAGTTGCGGGATTTCCACAACCACCATAAAATATACGTCGAGAGTTGAATTCTATCTACATTGATTTCCTTGTGGCTTAAGGAGCAGATACTCCACCACCAGTCAGCAAATGAAGCAGGTGGAATAGGAAAATTGTCCCAGCATAAAGGAGCCACACTCCAAACCCTTTGAGCCTTGGGACATTGCCAAAGAACATGTTCAGTTGTTCTAAGTCTTCACCACAGACTTCACAAATAGGGTCAACCATTACCCCTCTCTTTTTCAGATTCAAAGAAACTGGGAGAGCATTAGAAAAGCATTTCCAAATAAGATGTTTGATTTTTCCTTTAATTTCAGTCTCCATGTTCTTGCTCTAACCTGCACATCCTTAGCTCTAGTGGTACTGCCCTCTGGCTTGTCCATCAGCAAAATTTTATCAATGATCAGATTAGAATATGCAGCAGCAACTGAGAAAGGGCATTTCTTAGAGTTGAGCCACAACCAACTGTCAGCCTTATCTGGCTTTAAGTGGGCCAACTTCAGAATAGCATCTGCAGTCTTATAATCAAAAAGAGAATAAACCAAGTCTCTGTTCCAATTTGCTAATTTTTCTTGCTATAAATTGGAACTTGGGCAGAGAGAGTAGGAGACGAAAGAATTAGAGAAAGAAAGAAAGAAAGGAAAGAGAGAAAAGAAAGAAAGGGAAGAAAAAAAAGATAGCTTTATGTCCAATTATCGGACATAAAAATATCAAACGAGAATGAACAAATAATATTTTTATTTGTTTTATGATATATCTTTTTATTTTTAGTGCTCAATTCTTAACTCTGTTAAAGTTCACCGGAGCTCGTAAATCTGGTGTGCTACAAATTTAGAGACGTTTGCCGTTGTATCTTTGGGGAAGTTACGCCTGAACCGTTAGCTGCCACACGGGGCGTATTCTTCTTGCGGAAAGAGTTTTACTCGCCTCGGCTAAAATCTTTCCGTTTTGAGTTTTTCAGTTGTAATTTATTTTTCAGTTCAATTGTAATTTTCTATTTTTAGATTATTTGTAAGAACTGAAAATACATATCAGTTCGTAGGATTCTCGTGTAATTTCACACCAAGTATCCAACAATCGCAAGAAGAATATTAGTCAACCTACTGAACTGATGGCATCCACCGGAGCAGGTTCCAGCTCTCAGCAGCAAATCAACACCACTGTTCATCATCCCGTACCTACTGTCCATGTCCCTACAGCTGAAAATCCCGAAAAATTCAACGGGCTTGACTTTAAGAGATGGCAACAGAAGATGCGTTTTTACCAGACCACTTTGGGTTTGGTGAAATACCTGAAGGACGACCCTCCGATCATTTCGGAGAATGAGACCAATGCAGAACTATGCGCTGCGTACGACGCTTGGGGGCAAGGTGACTACCTTTGCCGTAACTATGTCCTGAACGGGCTTAGTAACGAGTTGTATAATGTGTACAGCTCTGTTGGTTCTGCCAAGGAGCTTTGGGCTGCCCTGGAGAAGAAGTACAAGACCGAGGATGCCGGGGCGAAGAAATTCATCGTCGGCAAGTTTCT